GTCAAAAGATCACAAATCGTATCTAGTCGAAGACATTACCCTTCAAAATTGAAAAAATTTCCCTCGTTCCCCGTAAATGGGGGAAACCTCCAAAAAAATTACAAATTTAAAAATCGCTAATTTTCGAAATTTTTTCAATTTTTTTTACTAAAAACTGCCGTAACTTTTTCAAAAATGAACATATCAATATAATTTTTTTTTATATAGATGCTTGATGTCTTTACCTATCATTTGGTATATTTTTTTTGTAAATTTGACCTTTTATCTGCCCACAGGGGGGGATTTAAAATGACAACTTTTTCACAAAAAATTAACTTTTTCAACTTAACTTTTGAAAATGTTCCGGAAGGTCTGACACTTTTATATATATCTTAAATTAAAGCTAATGTAATGTACTTTAATTTGAAAAAAAAAAATTTGACCTCTGGACTTGTCTTCATGGTGAAAACGGCTACCGAATGCTATTTTTGTGTGAAAATTTTCGATTTTATAATTTACATTTTTTACTTTAAAGTGCTATAACTTTTTAAAAAATGTATGGATCAATACAATTTTTTCATGAGAAGTAGTATTTATATACATCTTTCATTGGATATACTTTTTTTTTAAATCAGACTATTTCCCTATATATGGGGGGGCTTCAAATATAAAAAATGCATATAGAAAGTAGAACTTTTTCAACTTAACTTTTGAAAATGTTCCGGAAGGTCTGACACTTTTATATATATCTTAAATTGAAGCTTATGTAATATACTTTAATTTGAAAAAAAAAAATTTGACCTCTGGACTTGTCTTCGTGGTGAAAGTTGACATCAAAGTTAATAAAAAATTACGATTTTTGTAAAATAATTTTTTTTTATATTTTTAACTTAATAATGCTCTAACTTTTTCAAAAATGAACATATCAATATAATTTTTTTTTATATAGATGATTGATGTCTTTACCTATCATTTGGTATATTTTTTTTGTAAATCTGACACTTAACCTGCCCACAAGGGGGGATTTAAAATTACAACTTTCTCACAAAAAATTAACTTTTTCAACTTAACTTTTGAAAATGTTCCGGAAAGTCTGACACTTTTATATATATCTTAAATTAAAGCTAATGTAATGCACTTTAATTTGAAAAAAAAAAATTTGACCTCTGGACTTGTCTTCATGGCGAAAATGGCTACCGAATGCTATTTTTGTGTGAAAATTTTCGATTTTGTATTTTACATTTTTTACTTTAAAGTGCTATAACTTTTTAAAAAATGTATGGATTAATACAATTTTTTCATGAGAAGTAGTATTTATATACATCTTTCATTGGATATACTTTTTTTTTAAATCAGACTATTTCCCTATATATGGGGGGGCTTCAAATATAAAAAATGCATATAGAAAGTAGAACTTTTTCAACTTAACTTTTGAAAATGTTCCGGAAGGTCTGACACTTTTATATATATCTTAAATTAAAGCTAATGTAATATACTTTAATTTGAAAAAAAAAAATTTGACCTCTGGACTTGTCTTCGTGGTGAAAGTTGACATCAAAGTTAATAAAAAATTACGATTTTTGTAAAATAATTTTTTTTTATATTTTTAACTTAATAATGCTCTAACTTTTTCAAAAATGAACATATCAATATAATTTTTTTTTATATAGATGCTTGATGTCTTTACTTATCATTTGGTATATTTTTTTTGTAAATCTGACACTTAACCTGCCCACAAGGGGGGATTTAAAATGACAACTTTTTCACAAAAAATTAACTTTTTCAACTTAACTTTTGAAAATGTTCCGGAAGATCTGACACTTTTATATATATCTTAAATATAAGCTAATGTAATATACTTTATTATGAAAAAAAAAAAATTTCGGACTTTATTTTATCTTCACGGTGAAAATGGCTACCAAATGCTATTTTTGTGTGAAAATTTTCGATTTTGTATTTTACATTTTTAACTTTATAATGGTATGACATATTAAAAAGTGTATGGATATAAAAGTGAATATATCAACATTATTTTTTTATGAGAAATAATATTTTTTAATAATCCCTTTTTCATTCGACATACTTTATCTTAATCAGGATATTAATAAGAAACTAGCAGATAATGTAGCTTTTGTAATTATCCACCAATTTCTTAGAATTAAACACTATCTACTGATTTGCATCGAAGCGTTTCTTATGATAGTGATTTTAATCACTGTCAGATTAAATCTATACTGGACCCAACTATGCAACNTAGTGATTTTAATCACTGTCAGATATCATTTACTTGATCCAACTATGCCACGTCACCAATGTGCCGCGACCCCCCTGTGCTGGGTTTTTTTTTATAAATGTATGCAATCAAAACTTGAAATTTTAAAATTATACTTGGAGAAAAATGTTAGATTTATAGAATTTTAAATTTATATGCGTACTAACTGATCACGGAAAAAACTTAAGCATAAGATCACCACACAGTTCGATTTAAACAACATTATTTATCCTATTTAAGTAAAAAAAAAAAAGTCTTGTTTACTTTTTATTTAAGCCAATTAATTTAACAAAAAATTTCTCGTTTCAAATTTAAAAAAACTTGATTTTTTTTTTTGAGAATTTTATTTTTTATGTCAAACAGATTAATAAAAACAAAATGGGTTATTATTTGAAAAACTACAGTTGATATTGATTTGAGGGTTAAAGGATGAAGATGGAATCTTTATTTTTCCTGTCAAGTACCTCAACAAAGATTTACAACAAATAAAATAATTACATCAATATTTTAAAGAAAATTCGCGAGACATAGTTAGTCAATCACCTTGTATAATTTAAAAAAATATAATTTAAATACTGGCCGAAAACAATCTATTATGGTGATCATAAACATGAGAATAAAAAGCAATTGTAACTTAGTGACCGAAATAAGTTATTTTATTAAACAAATTTAATAATTGTTAGCCAATCATTAAAAGTATTTTGTTATATTAATTGGCTTAAATAAAAAGTAAACAAGACTTTTTGGCCAACGACAAATAATGTTGATAAAATAATTTTTTTCAATATGTATAAGTGGAAAAAATATAATTTAATTATTGGCTGAAAGCAATCTATTATGGTGATCGTAAAATAACATATTTATTTTTGAAATAATTAAAATTTGTTTTAGCAACGTTATTTGTTGTTGGCCAAAAAAACTGAAACAAATTAGTATAAAAGATCTAGTAAACTGAAAATGTATTGGGACTTTTAGTCTAACCAGCGAACGAAGAACATACAAGCTCTTGTGGAAGCCAAATTAGTCTATTAGTCTCAGTCGCGTCGAAATCAAAATTCAAAAATCTTGAAATCAACGCGACAATCGCAAGTCGAACATATTGACTATTTCTGAAAACAGCCATCAAATTCGGTTGCGATAATATTGAACATAATTATGGCGCCGTTAGAGATAGAAGATCGAATTGTCATAAGATATTATGATTAAATGCAAAATTTAACAGTTACCAAAGTAAATGACAAGAATCGTGAACAGCCCGAAGAGTATCGCGTTAAACTTCAAGGAATAAATGGAGAATTTTTTGACACGGTCTCGATGAATATCCTTACCAATGTTATCAAAAAGAAAGAAGTATTTAATATCGTAAGTGAAAAATATGTGTAAATAGCATAGTTATTATTCATACTTATATTTTTAAAGGCTTTTATTATCAAAAATGAACTCATGTTGACATATTCAACATCTAAAAAAAGTCTCAACGCTCAGATTTGGAATGCTGAGAATTTGAAACCCAAAGACGTCGACAATAGATATGAGAAGAATACAAAGAAGAATGCTTACAAACCTGGACTTAAGCCGAACAATTACACAGCATATAACGCCAAATGTTATCCAGTGAACAATGAAAAGCGTTATACGGCCCAGGATAGACTTATGAAATACCGCAAAACTGAAGAACCACATCAACCAAATAAATTCAAACATCCCGATAATAGACAACAATACAACACAAATAATACACGTTATTCAGCTCAAGACCGACTTAAACAGTACAAGGAAATCGTTACTTCGAAAGAAACGCAGCCTAAACAATATGTCACTAAAAACACAGATATAAACCGAAATGAAGTTAAAGTAAAATACTGCAAAGAACAAAATCTCAGCAATGATATAAAAAAAGACCCATGTACCAAGAAACCAACATTAACACTAGACGAGACGCAAAAAGTTAGTTAATTATAATTATCATACAAACAATCTATTATTACTATATTTCCACAGATAATGATAGTTCAAAAACGAGCGAAGACATGTTATCTTGTACACACGATGGAGAGTAGAAAGTCTGTTATCACCTTGTGCGATAAACTACGCGAAATGGAAAATAACTTGAGACGCATCCAGAAAGTTGAAAAGTACGACATGTGCTTGATATTTTTTGGCGCTGAATGGTACCGTGGGAAAATTATGGACGAGACGAACGATGGTATGTTAAAAATTTACTTGATTGACACAGCACAAATGATGTTGTTTAACCAAAAAGAAGTCTATGAGATGCCAAAGCACTTCGAAGGAGAGTCTTTATTAATTGATATTGTCGTAACATCACCGCCAAAAGAAATGTTAACTACTGTTTATGCTAACGTAGAAGCAATAAAAACTATTGGACCGAGTACGGTGGTGAAACTGATTTGATTATAAATTACTATACTACCTTATAACTCCAATTCATTTGCATTCGACAGTTAACGTTGTTAACGGAGATTACGCACTGTCAATGATGTCTTTTTTTCATTAAAAAAACTCTTGTTTACGTTTATTATTAACTGTTTGCATTTTCATAACCAAGCACTTTATTTCTTTATTTATTGTTTAAATATTTGCTTGTTGTCATATTATTTAATTTTTTGTTTTATTCTTCAATTTTTTTTGTTCACATATATTTATTTTTGTCTGAACTAAATATAATTCGTAACACTAATTATGTCAATTGTTTAAATGAAATAAAGCTGTTCGACATTGATTAAACATTGTTATCATCTAATTTTATCAAATTATTTTGTGCGTTAATAGACTTTCAATTGTAAAGTGGCCAAAAAGTTCCAATAAATTTATATAAATATATAAAAGTTTTAATATAAAAGTTAATAAATTTTATAATGTTTGAATGATGTGATTCTTAAATAAGTTCCTAATTATTGTATCGGAAAAAGCACATTTCCTTTAGGTTTAGCGCTGAACTTAGAAATAATATTAAACAAAAAATATTGCTCATAAAAACTTTACATTTTCAAATTGTTCAAATAATTATCTTCTAATTTAAGAGTAAAATGTAAACGTATGACTATAATTTGTTATAGTCATATGAAATTTTCTCAAAATCAATTAAGAATTAATCCACGAATTTTTTAGGGTTTAAAGGAAATATAAAAACGAATTACCTGACTTTATGCATCTTTACTATCAAAATACTGTCCCAAACTTATCTAAAACTAGATTATTCAGTCAAAAATACAAGATTACAAGTTGAAATAATTAATGATAGTTACAGTACTTCTTTAATTATTAATCATAGTGTTCTTGAAACTGTTCTAAGGCCTATATTATTTATTTTATATATAAATAATTTGCTTAATATTAATGTTAAATAAAAATATGTTTTGTTGATGATATTGTCATATTATTACAAGATAAAAATACTACAAACGTATATCAAAAAGCAAACAAAATGTTCCATTCTATAAAATCATGGTTTGACAAGAATTTATTAGAACTAATTTAATGAAAACGAAACGTATAATATTTAATATGAAATATAATAATCTAAATAATATTCATAAATTATGTATTATAAATCTATGTACCTCTAAAACTAAAAACATTAACATTTGGAAAAAAAATGTTTTGATAAAATAAGGATATTTCCAAAAATATAATATTGTTTTATACAGTTTTTTTATTTAATTTTTGAAGCTGAGAGAATAGATGAATTTAGATTTTTAACAAGTTATTAGAAATAATTTTCACTAATGAATACACCAAATATTTAGGGAGTGGTCAAAAAGTGAAAAATACATTGAATAACATGAAAATATTTGACTTACTTAGTTATGAGTAAGAGTTTAATTTGACAAATGTGTATATATCTTATGGTATATACATTATATTCTCTTGAAAAAAACATATATTTTAAAACTATTGATATCTTTTTTTTTATATCAAAAGTTTTTTGTGTAATAATTATTTTTTTACATCATTTTAATCATCAAAAGATTTCCAATTAAACGTTAAACACAATTTACAATTGTCTTCAGCACTATGTATGGTTTAGTTAAGCTATGACTAAAATTATTATTTATGAAATAATAAATCAGGGATATATCTTTTTTTTAATTGTTTTAACTGTATTAATTTTTTATAATTACAATTTTGTGATATTTTTTAAATAATACTACTAAATCTAACAAAATAACTTATAGCTAATAATGTCAAAACTTTAATTTAGTTGTCAAACTTCAAAGGTACACAATGAATGGTTGTATTATTTTGTTCTATATAAATATCAGGCTTAATTCATTGAACATTTTAATTATAAAAAATTATTGATTATTTATTAAAACTTCTAACACATTTCATTAAAATTTTTAATATAGATTTACGATTATAACACAAATTAGGTCTTTAAAATGTAATATATAGTAAATATTTTTAACATATAAATAAGCTGTATTATAATAATGTAAATAATTTTATTATAATTGAAAAGTCTTTTAAGAAATTAGAGGAAATAATTTTCTCTACAACTTTTATAATAATCAAAGAAGCTAAATGTCAGATTTTTTAAATTCAGACTTGTATTCTTATCTTTAATCAGTTGTTAAAAACTAAATTCAAAATAAAAGCACATAAAATCATGACATGTGTTGTTGTCATACCTATAAATTGTGTATGCTTTATTATTTTAATTTTTCATCAATTAATGTTACAACAACAACAGAAATTATAAAGGGATACAATTGGAAAAATTTAATATAAAATTTATTTTGTATATTTAAAAAAATATTATAATATTAACATAAAATATAGAAATAATTATTTTAAAATATAATAAAACTAATTTATATAATTAAAGTACAAAATAAAAATTTAATATTAACACTTATGTATAATTATTGTAATATATAACTAAAAGGATATTACATTAAAAGATAATTAATAATTTTAATTTTTTTTATTTATGACAAACTTTAGTATTTATAAAAAGCACTAAATTTTTATTTTAGATGGCATTAAATCTTTAAAGAACCATAAATTATAAAAGTGTATCATTTAATATTATACAAGGATAAATATATAAAATAACAAACATAATTGTTTAACTCATATTTATTACTGATATTAATAAATATTTATTTTATTCATATTAAATAAAAAAAACAATTAGAATCAATTAAAATTAAAATTAAATTAAAATTTTTATTACATTTATTGAGCCTTAATTATATACTAAGAAGTTACAATAATTCAATTGAAAATTTTTTACAGTGTACAGATGACTTCTGATTTATTTAGGTTTACTAGAATGTCATTGTTAAAATAAATTAAATTAAATTTTTTCATTCAAAAAATAAAATAGAAAATGATGAGTATTAATTATCTAAATTGATTTATAAATAATTAGAATAAAATTTTATTGTATAAAAGGTTGGTGAAAACAAATACAAGAATTTGAATATAATAAATAAATTAAATACAATATAATATTAAGCTTACCAATTTTTAGATTCATGCTTCATTTATCACAATTATAGAATTTTTAAACAATTGCTTGTAACAGCATACATATACCCAACATTTAACAATAGAAATCTTAAGAAATTTAAATATTTTATATTTTATCAACATAATTTAATATTAGTTTTAAAACAACAACCCTGGTGCTAAATCCATAAGTGATTGTAATCTTGTCAATGTATTTCACAATTTTTCTATTCATAAAATTTTAAACTATAAAAATATTTGTATTAAGATAGATAGTAATATAAATGTAAAATGTTGATTAACTAAGAGTTTTAAAACAGAGATAAAAAGATTAAAATTAAGTAGAAAGCATAGTAAAATTATGTATGTTTAAAATAAGTTGTGCAAAATAAATACATGCAAAATACTCTAACCCTGTGTTGAGATAAAGTTGTCTAGGTGTAAAGAAATTAAGTATACAAAAAGAACAATAACTTAAACAGACATGTTTATGTTTGTAGCACCAATTGAAAAATACATGATAAAAACATAATACTATGTATTATAATGTTAATACTGCTTTAGTTGCTTCTGTTTTTGTAAGTGAAATTTAATATTTGTTGCTTTTTAAGTCATCCCGTATAAACTTGAACTGAGCCTTAATTTTCGATAATATACTACTAAATTGACCACCATAAATATTGTTAGTATTTATTTCACCGTCTAAAGGGTCGTGCAACACTTGAGCTCTATGTGGTGGTATTAATGGGTCTTTGAGCCGGGCAAGATCAGTTTGCACAGAAGACAATTGATCCTTTAGCTGGTTATATAAGTACAGGTCCAGACCAGATTTCTTAGCTTTTTTGTGCATTGTGATCAAATACTGACGATCACGAACATCAGGCATTAAGTACTCCTATTAAAAAAAGATATATAATAAAATAGATTAAATTATTATTATAATCTTGTAACTAATATTATACATTAATTTTTAATTAAAAGATAGCATAATAATAAACATTTTGCTTTTTTCAAATAGATTTTCATTTTATTAACGTTGGTATTCACAGAAATGAAAATCATGACATCTTCCAAATTATAGAGTTAACAAATAATAATAGTAAAATTATAAAACGGAGTATTCAAATATTTTAATAAAAAAAAGTGAGTTATTTTATTTAACAAGATGCAAAATTAAAAATTAAATAATTAATAATTTAAATATAATAATAAAAATAAAAATTTCCATTATATGTCTTGAATTCATAAAAAAATATTATATAATTAAGTTAACTCCACCATTAAGAATTACTAAAAAAGCTAAATATTTAAATATTAAATGACAAAAGGACAATATCTAATATTTTTAAGTTGTTGACTTTAATTTTTTTATGTTTTAAGAATAAAAACATTGTTTTTTCAATTGAAAAATTAAAAAATATATCTTTTACATTTTGAATTTTAACGGAAAAAGTTGCTGGGTTACTAAATACAAAATTGATATTGAATTTCGAGTATCAAATGTAATTTAAAATGAAAATTTAACATACTGTTGTATAAATGATCAACCTCAACTTTTTTATATTAAATAGAATTTACCTGTTTCGTGAGTACATAATAAGCATACACTGCCATTGCAGTACCGTAAGTGACAAAGTACGTGACCGGTTCCATTATGTCCCATGAATATTCCCACCAAGTAAGTCGGGCTAATATACCAAATTGCACAGACATAAGACCCAGTCCGACCCAAGTCAGAATTGAAGTCTGCCTGTTAGCGACCAAGTCGATGGACTGCCTTTTCTGTAAAATAACAATCAAAAATTTTAATTAAGACATAAAAATGCTGTAAAACGCTTTAAAGGAATAAACCTTCTTTTTATACGCGAAACGTCGAGATTGTTCAACACATTACTGTATTTCGAACATTTTATACACTATTTGAGTTATGACTTAAGGGTTATAGTAGTTTTCGTGAAGGTTGCTCACGTAAACAATGTGACGTACGAATTAATAGTGACATCATAATTTAAGCTAATAAAGTTATATTATGACATATATGATCCCAATGAAAAATATAGCTCTCATAAAAAAAGTGATAAGCAAACAAATCATTTAATTGAGGCGATCCTTTTTTTATATAAATAATATACTTTGAATAATGAGAACCTCGTGATGTGATATGGTTTGTTACTTAGAAAATTGGTTAACAATCCTTCTATTATAACAAAAAAAAAAAAATCGCACCCTAAGTAAATATTGTGTGTATTATATAAGATTCTTATTATATTGAGTTAAACAATTGTAAGTATATACGAGATTTAAAATTAAACTACATTATCAAAAAAATACAAGGACCTAAAGAATGTTTTTTTATTTAATGTCTAATGTTTGACCAAAATCTTTATACACTTTAATACGATTGTAAAAGCTTAATCATTAGTTTCAAAAATGTAAAATATATACTATGAAATTTATTTAGAAAAATAACCTTACTACCTTATTATATTAAAAATGAAATTTTCTTCGTATTAGCATAGTAATACACATTTATGTAATCATTTAATGAGGATCAAAATAAAAAAAATCCAACCGAATCATTATTCATTACGTTTGTTTATGATTCTGATACATTTTAAATTTATAAAAATCATGAAATTGTATAATTTTTATTAACTTATTTTTAACACAACAAAAATAATTTGTACTTAATTTTTTTCAATTTTTATTAAATCATATACATTTAATAATAATTATCCAATGGTTGAATTAAATTGAAAGTTCTGAATTTCTCTTACTATCTTCCTAAAAATTGAATGTCAATTTTTGAGGAGGATATTCAATTCTAATATTTTTTACGACGGTTACCGAACTTTTAGTTATTTCAACTAACTAATAATAACATTATGACTACTATTCAGGTTTGTAGAAATAATCGAAAATTAATTTTAAAAATAAATAAATATATATTGACTTATTGGAAAAATGTTTTGTTAAATTTGTTAAATAAAAACAATAGCACAGTGGGGTCGCGGCATAGTAGAGACATTGCATAGTAGGGTCCAGTATAGATTTAATCTGACAGTGATTAAAATCACTATCATAAGAAACGCTTCGATGCAAATCTGTAGATAGTGTTTAATTTTAAAAAATTGATGGATAATTGCAAAAGCAACATCAACTTCTATTAAAATAAAATACAAAACCCATAATTATCATACAAAAATAGTATATTTTTCAATATGGTAGCCATTTGCGTATAGAAGATAGATCGTCGGGACAAATTTTTTTTTTTCATTTTGTAGTACATAAAATAAGCTTTAATTTTATATATGTTTAAAGGACGCAGTATTTCCGGAACATTTTCAAAAATTAAGTTGAAAAAGTTATTTTTTGTAAAAAAGTTACTATTTTAAATCCTCCCAGTGAGCAGAATAAGTGTTAGATTTTCAAAAAAAATTATATCAAATGAAAGGGAAATATCTAAGGTTTCAATACAAAAAAATATTATTTTTATTTGTTCATTTTTGAAAAAGTTATGGCAGTTTTAAGTACAAAAAACATCCCGATAAAATGTAATTTTTATCGCAAACATTACATTTTTTTTTAAATTTTCGACAGCCATTTGCACATAGAAGATAAGATGTCGGGACAAATTTTTTTTTTTCATTTGATAGTATATAACATAACCTTTGATTTGATATATGTTTAAAGGACGCAGTATTTCCGGAACATTTTCAAAAGTTCAGTTGAAAAAGATCTATGTTTTTTACAATATTTTAAGTTTTGAACGCCCCCTATATAAGGGGAAATTGTCCAATTTTAATAAAAAGTATGTCAAATGAAAGATGTACTTATAATGTATTTAGAAAAAAAAAATTTGTGCTGATATATACATTTTTCAAAAAGTTATAGCATTTTTAAGTTGAAAATTTAAAATCGAAAATCGAAAATTTTAACACAAAAATAGTGTTTTTTTAACTACGGCAGCCGTTTAAATGTAGAAAAAAAAGTGTCGGGACAAATTTTTTTTTTTCATTTTGTAGTACATAAAATAAGCTTTAATTTGATATATGTTTAAAGGACGCAGTCTTTCCGGAACATTTTCAAAAATTAAGTTGAAAAAATTAATTTTTGTAAAAAAGTTGCCATTTTAAATCCCCCCCAATGAGCAGGTTAAGTGATAGATTTTCAAAAAAATGATATCAAATGAAAGGTAAATATCTAAGGTTTTAGTATAAAAAAAAATTATGTTGATTTGTTGATTTTTCAAAAAGTTATGGAAGTTTTAAGAAAAAAAAGTGAAAAAATTTCGAAAATTAGCGATTTTTAAATTTGTAATTTTTTTGGATATTTCCCCCATTTGCGGGGAACGAGGGAATTTTTTTCAATTTTTAAGGGTAATGTCTTCAACTAGATACGATTTGTGATCTTTTGACGTATTTTTGAAAGAAATCGGTCCAGTGAGAGCTGAGAAAAAGTGGCAACAGACATAAAAAAAAAAAAAAACACATCATAGTAAAATTAATACCTTCTCCGCTTCGCATCGAAGCTAAAAGTAATCAAGATTATTTTTATTTCTTAAATAGGATAAACAATGTTGTTTAAATCGACACCGTATGGTGATCTTATGCTTAAGATTTTTTCCGTGTTAAATTTGTACGCATATTTAAAATTCTATATAATCTTACATTTTTCTCTAAGTATAACTTAAAAATTTCACGTTTTGAGCGTATATCTTTAAGTTTCTTTCCGTGATATATTAGTACGCATTTATTTAAAACACTTAACAGTTACGTTTTATTCTTGAAGTATAATTTAAAAATTTTCAAGTTTTGAGTGCAATCATTTATAAAAAATGGATTCAGAATTGTTTTTCGTAATAACGACGTCGCTCAATTTTTTTATAATTCCAATTCAAGTAATCAAACATATTATATTTAGTTCAATGGCAACTGTGTGGCAGCAGACATTCTTGGAGATGAAACTTTCTAAGAAGAAAAAGACTTTAACTGAATAAGTAGAACCTATTATGAATACTTGCCTGATTTCGACTATTAATTTGGAGATACCTATTATGCCAAATAATTCAATTTTAGAACACATGGTCGAAAAATAACCTTTCAACTCCACTGTTTGATATAATGCCAGAAAATGTTATTACAAGACATTATATGAACATTTCATTACAAAATAACGAAATTGATTCTGTCAAAAAAATTAAATCAGAAATTATTACAAAATTGAAATATATCCCACCAACACTTCTACAAACTCTTCCACATTAGCTAATAATTTTTTTCACTCAAACATATCATAGTCAAAATACAATTTTTCAACCAAACCATTTAAAACATTGCCTGGAAATTTTAACACAACATCTCGAGAAAATCCCTCTTTTATGGATAATTCCTTTGATTTTAATAAAAAACCGATTGAAAAATTAATAGAAAATATTCAAACGTCTAACACAAATAGTTTTTTACTAAGTCAAAAATTGAACCTATTACATCAAAAACCCTGGAAAATACTAAAAAGAATAGAACTTTAGGATGTGAAAATACTAATAACAAAATATCCACTACTAGAACATGATATTGAAAAACATTTATGGGATAAAAGGTATTTATTGTAAGAAATACACACGAGTAATCGCTGTGGATATCGATGCTAAAAAACTTGAATTCGCCAAAAAAAATGCAGAGATTTATGGAGTCAGGGACAAAATTATATTTATACAGGGAGATTTCTTCGAGATTGCAGAAACGTTAAAAAAATATAAGCCACAGGTCATAGTGTCGTCTCATCTATGGGGCGGTCCTTCGTATAAGAAACACGAAGTTTTCAGTCTCCAGAAACATATGTGTAATGAATACGAAGGAATACAAATTAAAAAAAATAATTTCTAAAACTAACAATTATTTTATTGTTTCCATGTACAAAAAAATCTAAGGTATTCAGAATAAAGTTATTATTTTTATTGTTAAATTATGATTAAGTAATTTTTTTATATTTACTTACTTTTAATTTAAATTTACTAGTTATCATCTAATTAACCAATTTTTTTACCAGTGGCGTTATTATAAACAAATTATGCTAAGTCAATTCATGTAAAATAATTTAACTTCATTGTACACATTAAAAATAGTTTGATTTTTATATAGATATCTGTATTGTGTAAAATTTAGCTTTAAATAATGACTATTATTTTAATAATCTATTGAGGAATAACAAAAAGTTTAAGTATGAGTACATTTATTCTTTCAAAGAAGGAAGAAACTTGAATGTAAGCAATTATTTGATTGTGTTTTAATGTAGTCATATTTAGTTGAAAAGAAAATTAAGAAGTTACATACCATAAATTGACTAAAAAAACAAAAAAAAAAAAAAAAAAAAAAAAAAA